TGATCCAAAGAATAAAGTTCCATGAATGAACTTGAACTGTATAAAAGTCTGTGTTATTTGCTCACAAACAAAAACACATAAAAGCTGAATATATATCTGAAGTTAATCGGATACTAACTCGACTTGGGCTTTAGAACATCCACAAGCATGTGTACCAACAAACACTTATGGACGCTGGACGGATGGGGTGATGACAATATGCAGTCAAAAAACCCTTTCTTGCAATGTTTTAGGGTTAACCCCCTTTTTTCATAAACTGGCTGGTATTTAGAGCAAGCCAATCACCAAACTAAGTAGAAAATATTTTGTTTCATTGAAATGAGAACCACCATTGTTATAACACGATATTGCTAGGGAAAGTAGACCACCCTTTTGGAATGCTTTGAATAGGTCAATCGACAGGTCATGTCAATAAGTGGACCATTTATGAATCATAATTCAACCACTGTGTTAGTTTTCACAATGATGAGATAGCATGTAACCAAGTAAAATTGGCATTAACTTGTTAGTATTCGGACACTGAATATCTGTAGTTGATATCAGAGTGATATTAATAGGATTGCCGACCATCTTGTATGGGTTGATAAAGATTGTGAACAAACAGGACTGATACTTTAACACTTTGAGCATTTAAAGCTATATTTACACAATGCAATAGTTTTTATTTCATAATCTAAAATGAAAGTGGAATATTCTTACCGTTACACTGCAATAGCCAGCTGTTAATCCTCGTGACATCCTTTGATAGTACGATCCAAATTTCAACACCTGTCGGTAGCCAATAACGTGTTCTAGCCAATCGAGCATTAGTTCATCCTCAACATCTGGCAAGGGCACAAGGGTTGAAAAGAAGGGACCCAAACATAACCCAAACTGCATTAGGTGTAGTCATTCCTGAATATAATGTTAAACATACATTATGGAAGAGCTAAATCTGCCTATTGCAAGTCTTTATTAAGCTTTCAGATGTTATAGAAATTATTAATTAGACCCTTATTTACATGAAAAGCTCAATATAAACTCTGTAGACCCTCGGATGTCTTGGATACAGCATGAATTTAAAAAGTCGTCCATTTAAAGTTAAATCAATAAATGGCGGACTAAGCTAACATTTACCGTTAGTCATTGACGTCACTACCGGAGACTGGTGAGATAAGGCCTGCCAAGCGAGGGTACCATAGCCATGGAGAATGTTACTTGATAATCAAGAATATGTGGGTGGAGTTATCTTCTGTTAATCAAGCGATCGGCAATTCTGGTAGACACAGATGATGCCTTTTTCTTGTTCGAACTTCCAACTGTATCAGTTTGACTGAAATTTTCAATATTTCTTTTTTATCATCTATCTTTGAATTATTATAGCAAGAATGGTCAACTCTTTATTAAGCTCTTAACTAATGTATGTTTAATATATCAAAAATGCCACCAGATGTATGCTCCATCCATACCGCAAAATTAAAGGTAATATCCATAGCTCTTGAGTGACTTGTGTCGTCCACCGTTCAAAGAGCAGTCATTGTGTCTGACTCCCTTAGCAGTATAAAGTCAATAATACATGATAAAACAACACCTAGACCAGAAATTGTTTAGAATATTCTAGCAAGTGTTTGTTACCTCCGAAACAAAAATAAAACCGTAGAATTTACATGGATACCAGCCTGTGTTGGCATAGTAGACAATGAGTCTGCAGACAATATGGCTCGCAAAGGCATCTGCGAGACCGAAGATTTACAATATAGCGCTCAGGAATTTAACAGCATGGTTAAAACTAAGATTAAATCAGAAAGAAAAACTGAGTTGGCTAGAGCAAATACTTTTAGATTCAAATTATATAAAGATCTGGTTGTAAAAAACAGCGGTCAATCACCCATCGCGTAAAATTTGTGGGTAAATCACCAGACTGAGAACTAAAGAATTAATTACCGACCATAAACCAGTGAAGTGCGAATGGGGCCACATTTTGATCGTTAATCATGTCGTCATTGCGTGCAATAAATTGGAAGGGAAACGACCCCTAGTAAGAGGTTTACTGGAAGATGCCAAACTTCAGTATACCCGCCAGAATATACTCTTCCCCCTCGGAATATGTCATATAAAATTTATGAAGGGATCTCAATATTCATAACAGAATCGGGAATTAACTGTTAAGTTAGTTGCTTGCGAAAAATGATCACTAGTCATGGAAAGGTAACTGGTTGTGTAGACCAGGATGGCGACGAAGCCAGCTGCATGCTTTAATAATATCAGAATAAATTGTCATTAAGATAGGGAACTACATATCTAGTTACACAGGAAGGAACTATTGATGTTGGACAGTATGGCGGTTCAGCCTACTGTATGATTTAATAAATTAGGGAAAATAATGACAAAAAGAATAGGGACCTACACAACTATTATTAACAATGACAGTGCATATCAATCAATTTAATTTAATTATGTCTAATATCATGTATTATTTCTATAAATGTTTTAATTTGTTTTAATAGCCTTGTTCTGTGTTGCTGCTGACGTTTCTTTTTCTTTTCAGGCAACTTTTATCTGGGGAGAGTCTTACACAAGAAAAAACTCAATGAAGTGCCTTGCACTTCGTGTTTCCAAATAACGCAAGCGGATTTTTTTTTCCCAACGTTTTTTTTTTCTATCCGCACTTATGACGCCAAACATCAGGCAACTGGACCTCCTGTTTTAACCTGTTTTTATAATGACAAAAAGAGAAGATGACCCGTCCCCTCTCTCTTCTCACGACAGCGATTTTATAAGTGTGTTTCAAAGTAATTTTTTTGATACGCAAGGGCTTTTTTTTATTTTGTGTTGTTACCAATTTTAAGGTGATTTTTGATATACACAGACTTTTTTATTTTGCGTTTTTACCAATTTTCAACCCATTAAGTGTAAATAATTTAATTAAATCAACCTGTCCATAATATCATATTTAATGTATTGGACGTTAAATCTTTAATAAACAATAAAAATAGTTAGTTAGTTAGTAAGTTAAGTTTGGGCCAGGTCCCAAGTTAATACCAGAACTCGCAGGGACTAGGTCCCGATTCTAGGCCAGAGCGCCAAGTTAGCACCAGGGCTCCCTCAAGTCAAGCTAACTAAAAAGTCATTAACTAAGGAATCATTAAATTGTTTCAATGGCATTTAGTAATTGAACTAGAGTATACAGGTCGCAATTCTATGGAATACAATTACTGCTTATTACTGAGCGACGTTTCGACTAGGATTCACTAGTCATTATCAAGCTATGATAAAAAATGAAAATATGACAGGACAATATATACATGTACATAACAATACTTTGTTAATGCTGACAGTAAAAAGCAGTAATTGTATTCCATAGAATTGTGACATGTATACTCTAGTTCAATTACTAAATGCCATTGAAACAGTTTATCAGACATCAGTGTGGAGATGTGGCAGTCAAACTCATTGATCAGGTACGAAGAACAGAAGGAAAATATGTACATGTATGTAATAATCTTACTTTCTTGATGCGACGCAGGGATGCCGAAATAGTACCCAAGGGCCTAATTATCAATCAAATTAGATTACCTTTAGGTACACGAAGGGAGATCTCTGGTTTGTCAGCATTAACAAAGTATTGTTATGTACATGTATATATTGTCCTGTCATATTTTCCTCTCGGATTCTTTTGAAGATATGGGTCCCAGGCAGCTGACGGCCTTTGAAGGTTCTCAAGTAGCCGATGTCTGGAAGTACTGGTCCGAGTATGACACTGAAAAGTCGTATACTGTGAGGGTGAGGACTTTGGAGAAACGTTTGTGGCAAAGGTAAGTTATTCCCAATGTGTGTGTGTTTCTCTGTCTAGATGAATGGGTCTTTGTTTCTTTCATTCGTGACTGTACATGCCACTCGTCCTATTTTAAGTATATCTTCAGGATGTCCTCCCACGTGCCGAGCAGGTCGATCACTTCGGCATTCCCCTGTCGGTTATTCCCCCCGCGCTGCTGACCGCCACGTGGTAGGATACTCGGCTGGTCTCTTCTTTTGGTACTGTGTATGTTTTTATGATTGGGTTCATGGTTACTTGGAAACTGGAAGACTGGATAACTGGAAGACTGGATAACTGGAACACTTGAGCAGCAGATGTTAATAGGGCGAACGCACAAATTAGAAATTTCCTCGATTCCGACTGGTCGAGAAATGTGGTCGAATCGACAATAAACCCCCTCTAAATTCTCAAGACGAATCACTGCGTATAAATATTACAGTGTTCTTTTTTCATTTTTTCGCTCAATGATCTTCCTGAACTCAAATCTTTATTGACAAATATCGTCAAGAAATTCTGCACACATGACTATCACACCATTTTCAAACATCATCTTTATGAAAACACTTCTGAAATACATAAAACAGTAGAAAATCAGCCATAAATTAATCAAAACCGTTTTCGGGTATCCAAATATATTCGTAACTAGGCAATGTCAGTATGAACAATTTTGTTTTCTTTTTGAGTAGGCTAGCTTCACTCACCAATTTTTACTTAATCAGGTGGAATTTTTTAAATCACGCTTTGATCAAAGTCTGACTAGCATGATCTGCCTAATAATAAATCATTAGTCACAAGAAATCGCTTGAAAATATAACGAGGTAGTCGAAAATAGCAGCTGAAATATAAGCCTAATTATTATGCCAAAATTGACATTTATTCACAACACGTCGGAACTGTATACATAGCAACCGCTAGAACCCTAGGCTAGACATTCCCGTCATAGTTTTATAGGGTATCTTTGAGGTTGTAAGTAGGAACAGCAATTGTGTGAACAATTGGGTCACCCGGTTTCCCCTACTGCCAAAGACTGCTTCGCACGAGCTAATTATTGAAATAAGATAGAACCATATCTTAGTCCCGAAATGACTTAATTGGTGTCGCGTGAACTTCAAACCCCATTTCTCTATCCATTGTAGACTGCTATTTAAGTGACACAAACGCGTTTCCTTACATGAAAACAGTTTCAGATGATAACACACAATGGCGGCTGATCATTATTACCTGTTCATGGTTGACTTACTGACAAGGATCTTCCTGGTCGTGGATGTAGGCCTACAGAAGTACATCTAGGCGAATTCATTTAATAAGAAACAGTTTGGAATATATAGAAGGTCAGTTACCATAGCAATAAACCCAATTTATTCTATTGTGATTTAATTGTTAGTTAGACTTGACATATTATGACTATATGTCGTCACATACCTTTGTAGATATTTAGATTACTATGCGCCATGTTAATATTAGTGTGTTTTGACACAGCTTTCAGTCTGGAAAATCCTCATAATAATCTCCACCGATTGGTAGAGGTCTAACAGAACTCTTTGTAATAGCAGGCATGAACTATATTTCAGGAACCTGAAACACTGGGGCATGGGGGTTTTGGTTCTCGGGGACGCGAACGGTTTGAATTTCCGCATCTGCCGTATACCTATATCTCAATGTTTCACTTTTACTTTCACTTTCGATAGGTCAAATATCAAAATAGCCGAGACAGCGCGTACAAAACGACACAGTTTTTGGGGTTTGTTTTGTACTACTGTCACTATACGTTATAAATCGTGCTTCAATTGTATTGTTTAGCTGGTGTAAGTAAGTAATTTATATAGTTATCTATCGTTTGACCAACCTGTCACAATAAGTTTAAAGTTCTCAACCCTTGTCAACACAATACTAACGTTCTTACCCTTACAGTACCTCCTCTATTCTAACTTAAAGCGTCTCTCTCTTCAAACCTTAAAGTTGTTCTTTTCTACCCCTAAAGCGCCTCTGTTCTAGCCTTAAAGTAGGCTTATCCCTGGTCTACCCTTAAATTGCCCCTGTTCTAACCTTAAAGTGCCTCTATTCTAATCTTAAAGTCATTCTGTTCTACCCTTCAAGTACCACTGTGCATCTGTTCCGCTTTTAAATTGCACTTGTTCTACCCTTAAATTACCACTGTTCTACCCTTAAAGTTATTTTATGTTGGAGTCTTAGGTCTCTATTCTTAATGGCGCTTCTCTGAAGTAAGCATTGTGTTGACATTTCATTCTAGTTTGTAAGAAAGCAATGGATGATGTTTCACACTGTTTCTGTTTCAGGTCTACCCAGTTTGTGGACAATATTAAAGGTATATCTCCACAATTCAAATACATGTATTCATTCAACAGTTGGTACAATAATCGCCAGCAATTAACTTTAAAGCACAGCAGTCATATATAATCTACTTAAGAAATGGTCGAAAGAGGAACCAGCGCCGGTATGGACAGTCCGTCCAACTTTCTACGAGATACACCATCTCTCTCATTAACAGACCTTACAGAATCGGACACAGAGAGTGCCAACTCTCCATCATCTCAAACAGAACTTCTGTCATTATGCCACTCCTCGGGTAAATAATCTAGTACTGTTTTCAAAATTCAAATCTTTTAAAGTAGCTGATTGTCATCACATATAAGTCATCCATTTCACTTATATTGATTTGGGGGGTGGGGTGGTAGGGTGGCCGAATGGTTAGCGTGTGCGCGCCGTATCATAAGGCCTGTCATTGAGTCAACTGGCGTGGTTTCAATTCCCCGGTTGAACGTGGCAAGGAGTAGGGTCGCCTGTTCAACCTCGTGGGTTTTCTCTAGGTCCCCCGATTTCCTCCCACTGCTAAAGACCCCTACGCGCAAGTGAATTATTGAAATAAAATTGAACCATATGTTAGTCCCGAAATGACCTAGTTTGTGTCGAGTGGACGTTAAACCCCATTTCTCTCTCTCTTATACTTATATTGATTATTTAAGGAAGCAAATATCAAGGTCAGATAATCTCCCAGTCTTGGCGTGCACGTAAAATATCCCTTAGCAATTGGAATTCCATATAAGAGTAAGCCGGACAAAATTTCTTTCATAACACACTGCATGGCGTATGTCCCTCTTCATTAGCCCCATCGGAGCAGAACAGTACGACGTTAAACCCAATTTCATTTCTTTTTTCTGATGATGTATTTATTCCAAACAACCATTGGATTCTTTCTTGATTTTATTTCAGATAATCAAGAGCCAGAAGTCATTGGTGTTGTATTAATGGGTAAAACGGGGGCTGGCAAGAGTTATCTTGGTAATTATCTGTTACAGCAGGAATTGTTTCAACCCAGTAGCTCTCTTAGCTCGTGTACATCTGAATGCCAGTCCGGTGAGCGGTTACTGAACGGTCGCACTAAACTTAAAGTCGTCGACACTCCAGGTTTGTTTGACACTGATATCACAGTTTCAGAAAATGTTAACAAAATATTGTCTTTGTTCGAGTGTTTACATTGTGTGGACATTTTTCTTCTCGTGGTTAGAGTTGATATCAAACTTGGTAAAGACGAAAGGGAAGCACTGCAGTGGTTAAAAGATCATTTCGGCGAAAATCTTAACGACTTTGCTGTTATCATCTTGAATAATCATGGATATAAACCTAAGAATAAAGAAACCTTAATAGGCGAAGCGCCTGAAATCCTGAGAACAATCATTGCTGATTGTGATAATAGATGTGTTCTCCTGCAGTATAATGAAACCAGTGTGGTTGATGATAATAAAGATATTGACGCCATCTTAGAAATAATCAACACAACAGTTAGCAGGAACAATGGACGTCGGTATACATACAAAATGCACGGAGATGCAAAAATGGAATACGACGAGAAAGTGAAATGTTTAGAAGAACAAAGTAAGAAAAGGGAAAAGGTGCTGGAAGAACAACTGGAAAATATGCAAAAAGAAAACAACGAATACAAGCAGTTAGTAAACAAAAACTCAGATATCAGCTCTAAAGTCAACTTATTACTAAGACTTATTCCAACTGAAAAACAAGAAGAAGCAAGACATATCATTAAAGATAATGGCGGCGGAACAGGACAATTTAACGAAAGGGGTAAGGAAGCAAGCTTTAAAAATAAATAAATACTAAGGTTATTGTCAATAGCAAGGAAAAAATGTATAGTGATTTGTCGAGGTCTCTGCGGTCAACATTTGTGTGCCCTTTAAAGGCTACATTGAGGTGACAACACCCCAATGAATTCCTAATTATGGCCCTTGCCGAATTTTGTGAACACCCTAGAGGAAAATACTATCCCCTGTTATTTGTAATTTATATGTATGGACGTTAGTCTAATAAATGATCCAATCTCGTGGGTTTTCTCCGGGTCCTCCGGTTTCCTCCCATTGCTAAAGACCCTTTCGCGCATACGAATTTTGAAATAAAACTGAACCATATGTTAGTCCGGAAATGACCTAGTTTGTGTCGAGTGGACGTTAAACCCCATTTCTCCCTCTACCTAATAAATGAGTTATTCCTTTTGATGGCATGTATATCCATCAGTTATCACATCAACAGCGAATTCCATTAATTTTTTATTATCATCTATCCCTTTTCCAGCTGGAAAACAGGCAGAACAGAATATATCTATACTGGGGATAGCTGGCAAAGTCAGGGGCAAAATATCTGATAATGATGAGGCGACGATCAGATACAATTGGAAATTTCTAATAGACAATATAAAAGACCACACCCAAACACTGATGGAGCATTTGTTCCAGAAAGAAGTTTTTGAATATGAAGACATGGAGAAAATAAATAAAACAATTAAAAACGAGGACAGTCGAGCAGGTGCTTGCATGTTGTTGAAAACTATGATGCAATCCGGCCCAGGGGCTTATCAACGATTTAAAGACTGCTTGAAAGAAACTGGTTTTTCAGGAGTTGTTGACAAGTTACAAGGTATAGTGAACACCAATCTGATTAAAACACAGATCCAATTTCGTTTCGTTTTTATAGTTCAAAATTTCGATTTTACTTGTCTTTACTACACTTGGATATGGAAGCGTTGTTATTTAACTCGTGTTCTGCGTGAAATGAGGGGTCAGCCAATCAAATGGTCTGTCGAATCGAGCGTTTGGCCTTTTTTTGCGCGGAACTGTGGGTAGACATTAGCGGCAATAGAAATCAAAACAAAGCAAAAGTAGATAAAAAATACATGGCAGTCACTAATTGGTTAATCGAATGACTGACGTAATCGGGTCAAAATGTCGCTTGCTTGGTACCTGACGTCATAGAATGTGAACTCCCACTATAACTTGTTAGATCTACATGTAGTGTAGGCCATATAAAGTATAAAAAACGAAACGAAATATAGATCTATATTTTAATTAGATTGAGTGAACACTTTCGTTATTAAAATTCAATATCAAATGTATTTACTATTTTATTAATAACCATTTATCTCTCACCAATTTAATTATTTTCATTTCCAAGTGAAGCGAAGTACTGCCTCTGTGAGTGACAGCTCATCAATACAGCATTCACCTGAACTACCTAACAGCCCATCAACCCCACAGAACTCAGAATCAAACGAAGAACCATCTATACAGAGACCACTTTACCAATCTGATATGACACAGTACACAATTCACCAGTCGTTTGATCAAAACTTCCAAAATGGTCAACTGCCTTCATCTACTAGTCAACTGATTATTCCATTTGATTGGCAAAGTTCCAATGGAAACACGTCTGTTCTGATAAGCCAATTGCCACTCAAATCCACTGTCCATAGTCCAGAGTCTGATTCATCAATGCTTTATCCAAAAAAAGACAATGTGATTCATTCACCAACTAGACATGATGTATTAAGGAAGGGAACTCAGTCAATAACATTACATCTAATATCAAATCCGCTCCATAATCAACCAGGTAAGAATCAGCTAGGAAACAATTCTTTTGAAATATCCCCAGAGAGTCAAATCGGTAAAGTATCACGAAAGGCATATCAACCAAAGGAACAAAGATATAACCGCTCTTTGACATACCGTACACCAGAACAACCCAATAACACACTATCACCACATGCTTCACCTTACCAACAAAGACCAGCAGTAACACCCAATAATTACCTTTTAACATACCGTACCCCAGAACAACCCAATGACACACCATCACCACATACTTCACCTTACCAACAGAGATCAGCAGTAGCACCTGTCACACCAGATAATGATTTGCCAAAAGGTTATTCTGTCCATGAAAGAATTTGCCCTACATCGATTGGTCCTCTAAAAGGTTAGTTATTTAAATTAATTTTACGGGATTGGGCAACAGAATTACTAGAACTATAGATTTACACTCCGGGTGAAATAGAAAACATTTATCACACCCGTCCACCACAAAACGACTTCAGTTGAAACAACCAGCGGTTGCCAGGCAAGATACGCCCACATTTTGCAAGCTGCAAACACAAGCGATTTTTCGTACAATCAGGGGCCATAATCCAGAAAGTGATGGTCTGAAATGTGCAAATATCCAAAAGGACTGAGATCTGTTGGATATAAAAATATATTTTAAGTTTCATCAAAATCGGATAAAAACTGGAACCTCTAGAGGATCCCCAACCTTCGTATTGCATACTTTTACACAATTTGCGTACAAAGAGCGGCCATTTTGTCGGACAGTTTCATTTCGATTTTCCCAAAATACGAATTCATCCTTCATTATAGTGGAATGGTGATATATTTAAACGGTTTTTAAAATCGCATAATAAAAAATGTGACCTCTAGAGAATCCATAAGCTAAAAATGCGATTTTTCGAACAATCAGGGGCCTTAATCCAGGAAGTTACGTTCGGATATGCGCGATTATCAAAAGGAACAAAGATTTTTGTGATATAAACATAAAGTTTCATCCACATCGGATACAAATTGTGGCCTCTAGAGGGTCCACAACCTTGATATACCATATTTTCACACTATTTGCGTACGAGGGGCGACCATTTTGTACGGCAGTTTTGGTGCGATTTTCATGAAATTTGAACTTAACCATCATTAGTGAGTAACGGTGATATATCGAAGGAAACCAAGATCTGTGGGTTATAAACATGTACTTCAAGTTTAATCGAAATCGAATCAAAATTGTGACCTCTAGAGGGTCCGGAGCCTTGATATACCAGATGTTTACACTATTTGCGTACGAGGGGCGACCATTTAGTCCGACAGTTTTGGTCCGACTTTTTACGAAATTCGAACTCAACCACCATTAAGGTGTAACGGTGATATATTCTGACCTCTAGAGGGATCACAAGCTAAAAACCCGATTTTTCGTACAATCAGGGTCCATAATTCAGGAAGTTCCGATCCGATATGCGCGATTTTTCGTACAACCAGGGCCATAATCCACGAAATTCTGAACCGGTGCATGCCATCTTTGGGAGATAGACCTATATTTCAAATTTCTTCAAAATCGGATAAAAATTGTGACCTGTAGAGTGTACACAAACTAATTGTGGACGGACGGACAGAGGCGACGGTATAATACATCCACATGAAAATGTGGGCTTATAAAAACAAAATTAATGGAACTGTATAATTATCCCCCGGGTGGAATACATATTAAAACCCCCTTTACATCTGCCCTCACCCCTTCACAAAACGTACAATTGAAACAAAAACTTGCTAAAAATTTGAATCTTTTTTCTTGATGATGGCTTTGTCATGTTTTTGTTTTTATTTATTTTTAGGAAAGAGTGTCACAAAACTGGGTGAATTTGGAAATCATTGTAAGGTAAAGTTCCATGCTAAGATATATTTTTTATTAAGTTAATTTAGTTTGGTATTTTATTATAAATATGTGATGCTATGTATTTATTATGTCAGAAGATGAAATGAACCGTTTGGACGTTCTTAGGTGTGATACGAGAATATTAGCCCGGACTTAGTATGATAGCGGGAATTAAGTGTGTGTGTGTGGGGGGGGGGGGGGGGTGTCAAGAGAGGGGCGGGTCTTGTTTTTTTCCTTATCTTTTAGAGTTTCCCTCTAGAAATATGAACGAAATCGAAAGCACACGCTTATCTCATGAATGAAAAAGAGAAAAACATTGTCCTAATGGGTTGCAGATGATTACATTTGCATCTGATAATATCGTGTAATCCTGTTTTTAATACCTTGGTTTTAATAGATAGGTTAATGGATAGGGGAATTATCGACTGACGTCATAACGCAAAATTGATGGGATTTGTATAGACATCAAAATCAACATTCTAGAATGCTCATTGTGGTCGTATATATAGTTTGGTGGCAACCATTTTGGATTACACAATGCCGTCATGCGTTTTTCATCTAGCAGGTGGTTGTAAAGGACTTCCTTACCCCTAAAACCTAGTTATAGACACCAAAATTGTTCCCCTTACACGAATAGAAAGAGTGTTATATAGAATGGTTGTCATCTTAGTCGCAATTTTGTATTTCGTAGCACAACATCCACAGATTATTGAAATCTGTGGTATCGATTTCCTATGGGGAGACACCATACACCACAATGACAACCCCTCTCTCCCACACACCCACACCACAATGCCGCCAAAAAGTTCTACGACTACAAAAATGTAGACATTTGACCAGTCTGTCTTTGAAATACAGCCATTGCGGATATATCTATAGTCCTGGCAGGTAGACCGTTGGCTTGTATATGTAGTGGGGAAAGGCTGTTGGTGAGCTGGGCGTCATCAGCATGGCAATGGTGGGTAATCAATTCCACAAGTGGTTTATTATAGAGACAAAACAGTATTGGCCGAAAGTCGGATTCTTGAGGCACACCACATGTTAGAGTCACTGGAGTTGAGACGGATTTTAGCTATTGCAACAGCTTGTGATAATCCAGACCAAATTTAGAAGCACTAATTTAGAGCGACTGAACTGATTCCATAATCACACTCAAGGCGATGGTCAATCGTGTCAAAGGCAGCTGATAAATCAAGTAGCACCAGCATTGACACGTCACCACTGTCAACAGATCGCTTAGCTGCTTCCAATACACAGTCGAGAGAAGCTTCTGTGCTCTTTGGTACGCAGACTGGAATGTATCCAATACATGTAGGTTGCCTTGTTCTAGGAAGTTGACAAACTGCAGTTTGACACCGGAAATGTTGTTTTTTTTGGGTTTTTTTTTATAACGTAAGCATATTTAAAGGATTGGGGTACATTAAGATTAATGCAAATTACTATTGTTTCTATTTCTTTAAATATATATTCAGAATTTGGACTTACATGGAAAGAGGGACTGCCTTGATAAGTAAGTATTGACTATGTATAAAAACATAATAGAATGGGGTTTAACGTCCTACTTTGCTGTACTAGCTTAGCTAATAAAGTCGGCGTGCTGTGGGTGGGGGGGGGGCATATTGCCAGGTTAGTTTCTTCCCTTCTATTTGTCTTGAAATTCCAACTGACAATGGTCCTGCGCACGTCAATGTGTATTTCATTCCACCCGAACGACTAAACGTTTTTCCTTAGCAGGGAAAACCAGGCTGGAAAATTGAACCTGGTTAGTGAGCCAGCGTCTTATTCACTGGGTCATTGTTGTTCCCCAAAGGAACCTATAGTACCCTTTTCTGTAAAGGGTGTTGATAATGCAATACAATATACAATACAATATACAATACAATATACATTACAGAGAGAGAGAAATGAGGTTTAACGTCCACTCGACACAAACTAGGCCATTTTGGGACTAACATATGGTTTAATTTTATTTCCATAATTCGCTTGCGGGTAGGTTGTGGGAAGAAACCGGAGGACCCGGAGAAAATCCAAGAGGTTGGATAGGCGACCCTACGCCTTGTCACGTACAGCCGGGGATTCGAAACCACGCCAGTTGACTCAATGACAGACTTTATGATACAGCGCGCACATCATTCAACCCCAATATACAATACACAATATACAATATACAATACAATATACAATACAATATACAATACAATATACAATACAATATACAACACAATATACAACACAATATACAATACAATATACAATACAATACAATACAATATAATATACAATATAATATACAATACAATATACAATGCTCTTTTTGTTACATGTAATTTTGATACTGCTCTGTTTTCTAGTGAAGATAAACGCCTAAATCTTAATCCTTTAGCTGAAGAGTTTACCCCGACACCCGTAAGTATATATTCTAACTTCGTCGTCATTGGGGAGTTGACAAAGTATTAAAAGCTTTAGTATTGAATTGTGACATGATTTATCAATCTTTCATTAATATCCAGTTATTATATTGTGCACAATTCTATTTATTGCAAATAACTTCACAAAACCATTAAGCTGAATTAAAATCAAGGAACAGGGTAGAGAAAGTTGTTTTGATTTTTTAATAGCAGAGGTAGCCTGTTTCATAATTTGATCATTCTGTGGATTTACATTTTTTATAAACATATATACACATAGTTGATCAACTTGTTAGAAATCAACCATCTGGGTCTACTGCCTAGATGTTAGTCTGTTGATTATTGCTCTAGGAACATTCGTATTTACAAAATTGTTCGGCGTACAAGAGCCACCTTTGAGTGGTAAGAATTGCGACTATAAATGCGGCAAAAAAAATAATTGCTCTTTTAAGAGCCACCTTCGAATGGTAAGAAGCGCGACTATAGATGCGGTAAAATAATTAATTGCTGATTTCTGTTGCAGACCAAAGAAGAATCGCTCAACAATTATTTTCAATACCCGCCAACATCAACTTCAAGTTATGCAACAAACCAACTTCATGAAGGTAAATATATATATATATATATTGCTAGACACGACAAAAACTCTCATTCTTTCAATTAAAGGGCCATATGATTAGTCATTAGTCATGTCCTAAGAGGGAGAAGCAAGGCGGAAGATCGGGGGGGGGGGGGGGTAGCATTAAATGTTAAATACTCAATTTGAGAACTGTTTAGATATTGTCCATCTCACTGCAAATAAGAATTCGTTATCTATTACAGGAGAGGATTTCCCTCTTCATCATGCTGCTATTTATTGCAAAGATAAAGACAAGTTTAAGACAATACTGGAGGAAAATCGAGATGATGTACGTAAAGTTGATAAGAATGGTAAAACACCACTTGAACTAGCTTATTACTCAAAATTTATACCATTTAACAAACTAAAAATGATTGTATCTATTGGTTTTACAGACGCTAAAGCCCTTTTTGAAATATGCCAATCAGCTCCCAGTAACCTACTTGAGATAATTTTTGATAAAAATATACATGATCGAATGAATGAAGCTGATCGCGAAAACATATATAACTTGTGTAGCCTGCTTATAAACGGGGGAGATATTACTTGCCAAACCGATCATAAGACAACCTTATTACACATAGCGTGTTTATACAGCAGTATAGAGAGCGTAAAATATTTATTAAACAAGGGATGTAATATTTCCATAGACGACAAAAAGGAGCCCCTTTTATTCATTTGTTGTAGATCATCTATCCAGCCGGACCTTAAAATACAACTACTGAAATCGAGAGGGACTGATCTGAATACTAAGCATAAAAATAGCAAAACCTTGTTACACGAGGCATGTGAACATGGCACTTCAGATTGTGTGAAATATTTGCTTGATGCAGGATTAGATGTAAATGCACTTGATTACGGGAAATATACACCATTTTACTACTGCTGTAGGACAGGGATAGAATCACTTCAAAAAGTTAAGTTGTTAGTGGCGTCTGATGCTCTTTCATCTAATACGTTTAGTAACGATTTACTGAATACAGCGTGCATGTATAGCGATATTTATGTGACCAGATATATTTTAGATTTGAACGAGTGTCGGGATCTAAAGCTTAATGTTAACAATGCAAATGATCGGGAAGAAACGCCAATATACTTCTGTTGTATTTCCAAGAAACAGCCTGTTCCTAAAATAAAGCTATTAGTATCAAGAGGATCGCGCTTAGATAGCACATATCGCTGTGGTAAAACGCTATTACACGTAGCTTGTGAACACGGCAAGTACGAATGTATAAAGTGTCTATTAGAGAATGGACTTGATGTGAATAGTAAAGATACCTTAGGTCATAGCCCATTGTTTTATTGTCATAAGTCCCATGAGGAATCAATTACTAAGATGGAACTGTTGATACAATATGGGGCTAAATTACATCTTGAGGAAGAGAATATCAGGCGAGCTATACGAGATCGTGTCGCTCCAAAGTGAAACAAACCTTTTAAAGCAAAGTGTCATGTCCCTAGGTTTGTCTTTTGTAATTGTTTGAAGTTTAGCCAGACAGCAGTTTTTAGAATGTCAAGTGTGTGTGTGTGTGTGTGTGGGGGGGGGGGGGGTCGTGAGGACGGTCTAGGGCTAGTGTACATGATTCATACACAGAAGTCTGTAGCACTACCCGTCAGTCGAATATGGAAAGCAAAACCAACAAAAGCTTTCCACATCCGACGTGTGACACATTCCCTGCTACACATCTTTTGTTAGCCTTGTGATTTTTTAGGTTTGACTCTCGCCAGGATAATATTGAAATTATCCACTCTTGGACTCCACTCTGACTTCAACGTTGTGTACGTATTTACAACAGTCAAATCGTATGTTTTTCCGGAACAACAATACAACAGTTTCTTGTATACATCATGAGAATAAAATGATCGTCTCAAGAACCAAATGGGTATCTAAATATCTGAGCCCTGGTTTTGCTCTGTTTTAGGACCCAACTTTATGCAATTAATTATGAGTTGGTTACTTACGCCATAATGACGGCAAAAATTTCAAAATATGGACATTGAGTTTGAAAGAATATCTGACCATTTTCCATCACTAGTATTTTAGAACAATAAACAAATTAGACTTGAGGATAGACCTCATGTCCTGTTATCCTCCTAATATTGAGAACAAATTAATTGCGTTTTATATAAACACATACCAACATTATTATTCATACATCCCCTAATTATATTATTACATTTCTTATGAAATTTCACAAGAATTTTGGTAGTAAATTCTGAGCAATGAAAATTATGTCAGAAGATTCTAGACAAAGAAGTGTGTTTGTTTGGCGAAAGAAGTCATTATTCAATCATTTCCTTGTACATTATGGCCAACAAGAAAATGGGGCTTCGATTTCGCTGTTTTTATAAATTTGCCCAGAGGCAAGGGGAGGGAATAATGCCACCCAATTGACTGTGATATATTAAATATATTAAAATCAAAAAGATATTATTATAATAAAGTATATCGTTTATTTCATTTGAGTTTTGTGTATTTTCTAACTCTCTTCTTGTCGATTGCTAGTAAATTTGGTGGTCCGCATCCATATACAAGCTTCTATGTAATGGGTAACCTCCCTTTAATTATTGACCATTTCTTATGTTGCCGTGAAAAGAGGGCGTGTTTGAGTGTCATGAATCAGATATAAAACTATTCCATAACGATGTCACAACTGGAAAAAAGATCAGCAATTATAAAAAATTGCCAACCATCTTGTCATTAAACATTCTTCATAAACAAATTTCTTAAATTCGCCCCATTTTTTCTAATTCTTATTTAGATTTCCAAATGTCAAGGGTTCATTAACGTGCAGTCCAATCACGCGGATCTGAGGCGTGCTTGGACTCCCATTGCCACGTGGATCGGAGGTGTCCTGGGGCTCTCATTGCCCACTGATCAGCAGTGAATATTCGCTTCGTCAATATCTCTGTGAAACAGATTGCCCCCATTGGCATTTTAGGGATGGCAGCACCACTAAACATTTGGATTCTGTGACATGCTAGAATCGATTTAACGTATATCTCAGCAATGACATACCATACAAAGACACTTGGTTGGGAGCTTGTGAATAAGCCCTGAAGATTTGTACGCGAAAATCAAGAACTAAACGACCCACGATTAAAGAAAAACAAGCATCAAAAAAGATTGGTAAGGGCACCTTCCAAGTTTCATTCGATTCTCTTCACTAATGAGGAAGGCGTATCACTGGTAAACTGAAAATACCCCATGAACCCATGAACCAGACGATCAAGATTTAGGGCCGTGGAACAGGTGTAAAAGTTTGCTTGAAGCTTGGCCAAGACGTTACTGGTGACAGAATAAATGTCAATAGGGTCTGTGGTAACGGTTAGAGAATTGGCCTTGAGTATGCTAACAGCTAAAAACGTTCCCATAGCCAGTGTAGCAATTTCCAGTATATTTTTTTTTCATATTCCTAAATTCATTTAGCAGCAGGTAAAGAGGACACAATGTTGTCATTAGGGCAATGGGAATATGATGACATTGGGACGGGCATTTCCATGAGTATTTGAGGTAACTTGTTCGAAATTCGAGGGCACTTTTTCAGAAATGAGAGCACTCTTGCAGAAGAGAGGGTACTTTGTGGGAAGGGAGGGCGTTATCAACCATTCTTGCAGAAGAGAGGGTACCGTGTGGGAAGGGATTCCCGATTTCTTTTGTTTTTGTATTTAAGAGGGCCTACCCGCCCAGCACGCGTCTTCCGCGGATATATTTCGAGCCCCCACTCACTTGCCCATCCGTGTCGACAATATTAGAAAATGGTTCATAATTCAACATTTTATTTCTCATTTTTCTATCCGCGGTGTCGTTCAACACGCTTGCCCCAGTTTCGCCAGTTATTCGTTTTGATGCAAATATTTAACAATACAATGGCCTTAACCTAATATTGATTTTAAATCGGTAAACAGCTTTTATTAGTTATGCCATCACATCAGGGTCGGATACAAGTATTTTTCAATTTTTGGGGTGCAAACGGGTTTGTCGCAGAGCGAACCGAGGCAAAGAAATATTTGGGTCCTTTTCTTAACCTTTTCCACAGAATAAATCGACGACAATTGAAGTAAAAAAGAGCAGTTTCTTACATCTAAACTGTCGTGGCATTCATATTTCCTGAATGTAGAATATGCCATTGTAAGTTCAGGGGATTGTTAATAAATTGATGACGATAAAACCGCAAACGGTGTTAATCCCGACGTGGGAATCTGGCATTAAACGGTTTATGTGAGCCGGAAATATAATTGGGATGGAAGGACGATGGAGCCCATTAATGACATTATTTAACATGTCTCGGTACGGGATAATAATACTACTAATATCAAACATTATTTTAATAAATCATTTATTGGTATCTTTGTATGTATTTTATTATTTTCAAATTTTGTTAAAGTAGCAATTGACCAATATTGGAATTGTTATAGATTCACTTATCTTTTAAGTCTTTCAACTGTTTGGGTTTATACTTAAAGTAGCTAAGTCTCTAACTCAATATCACCCAAAGTCTTACACGTTGAAAACACGAATTATTTGTCAATTCAAATCAACATTGATGTTGTAATCTTACTAGGAAAAGATAGGCTTCTCATAACCAATATTTAAGACAAAATAAACATTTTACCATTTGGTACACGAATCGTTTACCATAGTGCGTTTCAGCGTCATTTGTAACAAGTGGCCAGAAAGAACGAGGCTAGACATATTCAACAACTCATGTCAAACGATGACGCTTTAGCTTATCTGGAGAGCATGCGCAATAGACTGGAATAACCATACGCTAGAAATTGGCATTCGGTTGAGACTTATGCCGTATTTCGCTGGACATAACTGATTTGAAATGAGGGTCAAAACGGAAACAATTGAATGTAAATAAGTTTATATACAATCAGATTACATTATTATATGTGTTGCGACCCATTGGGTCAATTTCTAGGTCCCACATATTAGCGATTTAGCTCCTTTAATGTAACGATAAATATTACATATATTACGTAATTATAGTTAATACGAATTCTTGCTATGCCGATATCATCTTCTGTATTTAAACACCTGTTTCGTACGAACAATATAATATTTCTGATCAAATTGTTATATTTTACTCCTAAGCTTGTAGATATGTTCATTGTTCTACTGTAACTTTAGTCTGCTGACGAGCTCATCCTAACTATACCCGACATCTCCACCAATTGACACAGTGCTGTTTTCTGGTGGTGTGTATGTGTCGCGGGTGGGGGGCTCTATATAGATAGTTAAAATTGTACACTTAATAAACGAGTGTCACAAATCGGCCAAGAGTCAAAATAACGACCTAGGACGAGCTGGTCATCAGACTAAAGTCACAGTAGACTATATAGAACATATATTTTGGTTACGTTTTCGGGTGTCATTCAGTGCACCCAAAACTACCAGAAACCACAAAAAAAACCTTTTCCTGTAATTTTTTGGGGTTGATACCTTTTTTTCATAAACTGACTGGTCTACTGACAGAAGAACCACCATTAGTATAACATGATGTTGCTAGGGAAAATAGATTGCCTTTTTTGAATGCTTTGAATCGGCCAATCTGCAGGTCATGTCAATTAGTGAACCATTTTCGAATGTTCAACAACTGTGTTAGTTTCACAATGATGAGATGGCATATAGCCAAGTTAAATTCAGTATGAAATTGTTGGTATTCGCACACTGATTATCTGTAGCTGATATCAGAGTGATATTAATAGGAATGCCGACCATCTTGTACGGGTTGTTGAGGATTGTGAGCAAACAGGATTTACACAATGCTATATTTACACAATGCAATAGTTTTTATTCCCTAATCTAAAATGAAAATGTAATATTCTTACCATTATACTCCAAGAAATGTATATATGTTTATAACTCATTGTCTATACATACATAATATGTCCACCATTGTTTATTGTAAACATAAGATTTAACTATTTTATATGTTTGACGAGAACTAATGTTCTATGGGGAATCTGAAAGAACAGGGAAATGTAGATGCTGGAAATGAAATGAAATGGGGTTTAATGTACCACTTTTCTTCTCCTACTGGGTTAATGAAGACGGCTACATGCCTGACAAAAGACCCATGGTGTTACAGATGCTGGTGTCTCAGTTTTTAAATTTCCTCGAAAAGTACTTAGTGGTATGTGTTTTATATCTTGTTTTTAGATGAAGTGGTATGTGTTGTTATATCTTGTTTTTAGATGCAGTGTGTGGTGAATATATTAACAGTATGTACCACTGGTATCTTTTATTTGTATTTGTATTTTTTTAACGTTGTATGTTTTATTTGTATTTATTTGATTTTAAAGGTGTATGTTTTATTTTTATTTGTATTATTTTAAAATTGTATTTGGTATTTGTACTTTGTGACTATAAAACAGGAATATATAATTTATTTATTAATTTATTGAACTTGTATAGCGTCAAAATCCAGCTCGTAAAAAATGTACACAGTGTAAAACAATTTCTTGATAAATTAAAGGGCTAAACACCTAACTCAATATATTCCGATACATTTGTAATTAAAAA